AAATTCAGAACATTGTATTAGATTTTAGAGATGCATCTCTCATGATGGTATGCCTACATGAAGAAATTAAACCAGTATACTTTTGAAATGTTTTTAACCTTTCCTAAGTAGCAAAAAATTTCAAGTAGAAAATACTTTGTACTTCCTTTTGTATCACTGTGAGGAAATAGGCTGCTGCCTTTTCTTTCCACCTTGTCTTTTCCTACCGTTTAAATGGTTCATGAATTGGTTTTGTGTAAGCCTGTTACTGCCAATCCTCACTTATTTTTCATTACTCTGCCTGATCTCTTAATTCTTGAGAGTTTTCTGCTCTCACCTTTTAAAAAGCAGAGAATTTAGCTCATTAAGGTACTGTACATTCAAGTATCCATGGTACCGTGTGCTGTGATAGGTGGCACTGGAAGATTCAGATGTACTTCTGGGTCTGAAGGCTCTTATTCCTGCATGTTGGTAAGAAGAACAGCTATTCCAAAGGAGCCAAGAGGAATATCTAGTAGAGCTGAGTGATACTGCAGAGAGTAGGAGGCAAGAAAATGGAACCACGGGTCTTGGAAAGTAGCAGGGGCATTCTTGAAACAGTTTTAAAGGAGCTTTATGGGCTCGTGGTCTGCCAGCCTTCATTGCTAGGGCTGTAGTAGAACCGTTGCTGCCGGAGTGTAATTATTAATATGTAATAGCATGCTTTTTTGTTACGCAGAAAAGGTTTTTATTGCCTGCTTTCTAAAACCCTGCAAGTATCACTCCCCCAGAGTAAATTTTTCTCTTGGACAGTATTAAAACATTTGCATCCCATGGCTTCTTTACATTTAATCGCCTGTGTTGGCAAAAGCACTGAAATGTAAATATAAAAGCAGAATATTGGGGCATGTTGGGTTCCTGAAAGGCTGTGGATTCCAGTGTCTATGTGGGGAAACTTGCTTAGGGGTGATGTCAGCTTAAAAGCTGCTTGCGGGGATAATTGGTATAATTGACATTCATGTTGGCTGTCTTTTTCCATGAGACAGTGAATTGGGGGTAGTTAGTATTTCTGCTGTTTTTCTTTCTTGCTAGCTTTTCTGCAGGAGTTGGTAGAACGGGATAACTGCAAGTTTGAGGAGTGGTGTAACGAAATGGCAGAGATGCGAAAGCAGAGCGTGGCCAGAGGCAAAATCAAACATGAAGAGGTGAAGGAGCTCTACAAAAGGTTACCTGCTGAAGCTGGTCTGTAAGATATTCTGGTAGCATTTTGTAGTAGATATGTGTTTAAGATTAGCAGTCTTTTGTAAATAAACCACTGCTTTAATTCTTGATCCCCTTTACATATAGCTGCATTCAGTAGTTGTCTTAAATTTGGTCCTTTTTTTTTCCTCTTAACCTTTCATACTCTGGTATTCGTAATAGCAAAGTATCATGAAGAACTATAGATTTTGAAGGAAACAAGATGTGGAGGGTCCATTTCCCAAGCATTTAAATTCTATTTGAGGTTTCCCCAAAAGTCCGTAAAGCTATCTTTTTTTTTTCTGGCTGGGCTCTAGAAACAAACAGCACTAGAACCATATTATGCATCGTAAGATGTGGTCTCCTGGTCTGAATGTTTCACTGCAAGCTGTTAGGTGTAATTGCGTGCCTCCTGATGAGGGAAGGGCACGCTAGCTAAGAGGGCAGTGGAACATCTATGCTCAGTACTGCTTTTCCCCCATAATGTTTTCTTCATGGTGACTTTACATTTCCCACCCTCCTCTCTCTCTCTCTCTTTTTCCTGTCCTTCGTTTTAATGGCCACTGCAGCTATTTTTCTCTTTCTCTCTATTGATGTATTCTCCCCTCCCTTTCAGTGATGTCTGCTAGCCTCTTTCATATACTGTTTCCATTTTCTGTTGTCCTATCAACGACTTGATTCACTATTGATTAGCCGCATTGAAACCAGAATAACTCAGCCAGTCGTGAGTCTCCACTTCTCTTCTTCGCGTCAGTGCTAAATGAACCTGCAAGGGCGCAGGTTCACTCAACCTTCTGCCAGAAAGTCATTCATGTCTGACAGGCACTTGGGAACGCCCATGTAGGCGATTTTTTTATCTGTAAGACTTCTATTAGTCATTCCACTCGTATAAGCCCTCTGTATCTCAGCTGTACTGTCCTGTGAGCGAGTGCTCACTGGCTGCCTCTTAATCTTGTACCCATTTTTTTTCACCCTACCTTTTTAACATAGTTAAGCACTAGGATTTTGAAGCATCATTTTCTTCCCTTGGTTGTCTTACGTGTAAGTGTACGGGTCTTTCTGTGGCTATTTTACATACAGAATATTTCTCCCATGTACATCCCACTTCTAAAAACAATTGAAAAAATCACTTAAAATTAAAATTATAAATCTCTTAAGAAGCAAAAATAGGCTCTTGTGATATTTCAGTTTAATGTGCAATATACTTTGGCCAAACTCTTCAGATCTGAGCACCCAAGTCCAAGTAAAGTATCTAGTAGAAAAGGCTGGACTTCTCTTCCAGAGGTGCTGAACACTCACTACTCCAAGTCACTGGGAGCTCAGCTTCTCTAAATAGCTGCCCATTTCCATTTGGACACAGTTGTAAGCTCTAGGATTTGGAAACTTCGGTATTTGTGCTTCAAACTAATGGAAAGATAGGCGTGTTTTATTCCCCCTGTTGATTATATTCTCCAGATGTATTGTTGAACAGTTGTAGTGAAATCTAGGCTGTCAACATGGACAGCAGTGTGCTGTGATTCAGCTTTGGGAAATGGGAACAAAAAGTGACGCTCTTTCACTTTGTAAGCACAACGGGAATAACGTGCCTCTGACAATGATGACATGAATAAATCTCGTTATGGCAGGTTTTAAAACTTTTTTTTTTAACCGCGTGATAATTCATTGTGAAAGGTTGGCAAAGCATTTGAATATAATTAAAACCTCCGGAGGCTATGGCCACATTTAATGTAAATGCAGTCAATGAAAAGCAAATCTTATAGCCTTGCAGAAGGAAACAATTATGAGAATAATATCATTGCCTAATATGTAGAAGCTACTGACTAGGGGAAGAACAGACCCATTTAAGGCCTCAATTTATGAAAAGCCAGTGCTGATTATAGTACAGATTTTTCTCAAGCTTTGCTGTTGTCCCTCTGTATGAAACTTTATAGATTTTTTTTTCTAATTTCATGAGTTGTATTGATCAGATTAATATCAGCAGCATCTTTTTCACCCAAATTTCAGATTTGTCCTTGACACATCAGCCCAGTGCGTTTTAATTTCCTGGCCATCCTGTTAATTTTCGAGTGATCTTTTTATAAATACCAATCGTTATCTTTCCAGTAGGGGCTAGACGTGATGCACAGAAGGAAATTTGCTTTGTTCCCACAATCAATTCGTGTTCTTAGTTTGTAATTAAACCTGCCTTGGAACCTGAAGATGATTACTGCTAATTGGAAAGGGGGAGAAATGTCTGAGATCAGCTTGCTTCTCACAGCTGCATTTTATTACAGAAAAAGCCAGTGGAAATATAAGATGCCTTATTTACAAACATGGTCGTGCTCTTTTGGGTTACACAGTTGCATCAAGATATTTGTCTTAAATATTTATATAAATCTATTCATTTCTTGTAAAGTGTAGGTATTGATCCATCTCAAACCTACCCACCAACCTTCAAAATCAAATCTCTGTATTTGGCGTTTAGCAAGCAAAACGAAACAATCTCATTACTGTGAGATATTTTTAAGTCGGTGGCATTTCGCAGCACACATTTTTGATACAGAGCCTGTGTCCTGGTTGTTTGTGAATAGCTTGTGGTTTAAACTCAGTTCTTTGAGCTGTGAGCAGGAGACTTGATAATGTTCTAAAATAAAATAAGCTACTGTAGCCAAAAGGTTTTGCTGCTTGAAAACATTTTCTGCCTTTATTGGACAAGTTACGTATTTAAAATAATAAGTTGACCCATAGTTGATTGATTTTTTTTTTTTTTCCCCTTCTTATCTCATTTCACATACCTGCTATTTAGAGCAAGTGATATAAATCTGCCAGAACTGAACACAAACTAATTAGACATTTGCAAAATTTTCATAGTTTGAACCTAGTCAATTTACTGGGGGGGTGGGGAGTCCTCTGTTTATAGCAATTTAATTTTTTTAAGATAGAAACACTTTTAAAAAAGCAGTTTATTAGAAAGCATGTGCAGTATCATGGGTTTGTTTCTGTTCACTTTTTTTTCCAGGATCCCCGTATGAGTTTATCTCTCTTGATTGGCTACAGAAATGGCTGGATGAATCTACCCCTCCCAAACCCATAGATAACGCTGCATGCCTATGTTCACATGGAAAACTGCACCCAGATAAAATATCCATTATGAAGAGAATATCTGAGTATGTTGCTGACTTCTTCTACAGGAGATATGGAGGGGGCCCCAGGCTGACTGGTAAGCTGAAGAGAGGATGCTTTGAGGTCACCCTTTTTTTTTTCATTTAAATTTTATTATGTTATAATAAACATATAGCTTAACTCTGGGCCATCCTTTGTCATTAAAATGGAGCTTTCTCTCTCACCATAATAGATGTGCTGCCTGTGTATTTCTGGAGAATTGTTTTTGAGGTCACTGCTTAATTACATTAGCATTCAAACAAATATATTTAGTCTGATTGGAGAACATTTAATGGCAGATCTGTTTCAAACCTAAATTCTTCTCTGTGCCTTGAAGCAGTTTTATGCCGAGTAGCTTTAAACAAGACAGTGGGATAGGAACGAATTCAAGCTTTAGTATGTTTTTTTCTCTTAATGAAACATCCTTTTCTAAAATAGGAAAAAAATATTAGTCTTATGTAGAGAGAGAGAGAGACTGTGTGTGGCTGTCATGGATGTAGAGTTTTACTCGAGCCCTCAGGCTTTACGCAGTCTCCCTGAATATCCCAGGCATAACTTCCTTGTAAGGAAAGTCCCATGGCTGCTTCAGCTTCCAGACTAGGCCTTCAGGTTACGGCACCACAGTTTTTCTTCATAGCCCTTGAAGCCAGCGCAAATTAACTCAACGTCTGTATGGGACTTGCCCTTATACGGCAGTAAGCGACTTGCAGAAACTGCAGCCACACCAGCAGCCTTTCTAAAATAATCCATTGTCTTAATCAGTTGGAATATAGCAGGCAGATTCTTTTAGCCTGGAATGGGTAAGATAGGCTTGAGACAGAGTTAATATTATCTGCAAGAATAACCAGCCCAACATACCATATTCTCTTAGTTATCCATCTTGTCTCTCTCTTCCTCTGTCTGCTGGGTGTAGGAAACTCGGTCTCTTCATGCCGTTGTTCCAAGCTTGTTGGTTCCTGGCAATTAGAAGTTAATATTCAATCCCTGGGGCTTCCATTTATATCAAAAAGACATTGAAGAGCAGATAACACCTTCCTAGTCACTTTACGCTTGGCCACATGCCACTTCCACAGCCCAGAGTGGAATCCACACTTGGCACCCCTGGGTCACAGTACACAGAAGGGTGGGGAAACAGGCATGCATAATGCCAATAAAATTCCCACCTTCTCCACCCTGGTGCAGCTGCGCTCATATGTATGAACTGCTCCATCTTTTAAACCCTGTTTCTGCATGTACTGGTGTTTTTCAGACCTGTTACTCTACTTGTGAGCTGCTATTCTTGTAGATAATGCAGAAATACAGACTTGTGAAACCGAAGTGATGGGATGTTTTGTTGCTACATGAACGAATCCTGCCTCGTGTTGAGCTTCCCACAATTATTTCTTGGGTTCTAAATTTGGCCTAGTTCAGCTGTTGCCATGGAATCTTATTTCTGCCTAAAATCATAGGTATTGGAAAATGTCACTTGGACGCTATGTGGATGTCACTTGATGGACAGAACGTTTCAAATAATGATGTCTGGACTGTTGGCTTTGTTTTGAAACGGGTGGTAGCAATGCTCGTAACACGAAGTTCTTTGTTTCTCCAGTGAAAGCACTGTGCAAGGACTGTGTGGTTGAGAGATGTCGAATACTACGACTGAAAAATCAGTTAAACGAAGACTACAAAACGGTTACAAATTTGCTGAAAATTACAGTAAAGGGGTATGTGAAGGCTGGAGCCTTCAGCCATCATCAAGGCCAATCATTTTAAATAGGATTTTAATAATTCTCATTCTGATCCCGATACAAACCATGAATTATTTTCATTGTGTTGTGAATGCTTCTTGTTTCTATGCAGCAATGATGGATTTTGGGTGGGAAAGGCATCCTTGCGCAGCTGGCGTCAGTTGGCTTTGGAACAGCTGAATGAGCAAGATGATGATACAGAACACAGTAATGGCAAAATGAATGGAGACACCCAAAACAAAGGTAATTTTAACATTGTAAAATCCAAGCAAAGTAGCCAGTAGTGAAATTATATTTGAGAGTTTTCAAAAACATTAGGTAAGTTTCAATGTCTGAAGAGGAGCAGTAACCAAAAGTGTTCCTACAAAACAATAAAAAATTAGAAGTCTGGGCACAGAGTTTTCAAACTTTATCCTAACAAATAACGAAAAAGAATATTTGCTACAAAAAATTACAATGGATAAGAAGTGAAATTGTTTTGCAAGCCTCCAGTAAAGAACTGAGTGTTTCCTGTGAAAAACAGAAGAGTATTGCTAAAACCAGGTGCCCAAAAATCATGACGTCAGCCTACCCTTCAAAAAATAAAAACTTGGGATTCTCAAATTATTTATTTGTCTTCTGGGTTTTAGCCTACAAGGGAGGAGAAGGGAAGAACTTGTTAAAAATGAAAGCTGAGATTTTTCAACCTAATCGGATGATTTCAGGACCTGAGGCCTTAGGATCAACATCAAATTATCACATGACACATTTCAAAAGCTGGCAACACTAATAGAATTCGGTTGATCTTGTGTTTTTTTGGTAATAAATTTTAAAGGATATTTTTCTCCATTGATAATTGGGTCCCAATTTAAATATCCCTCAGGAAATCATTTTGTTGTTTTTCTGGTCTTAAATCAAAGTTGTTTTCACAGCAGCATAAAATAATGCTCAAGGGGTTAAAGGTTGAATTATTTACTAGGACGTGCTCATTATTTAGGTTTTTACAGTTCATTGCTCAGTATACTGCTGTATTTGCAACACTGTAGTGAAAGATGTCAGCTCTTCATTTTATAAACCAAAGGCTCATAACTAGCCTCTATAAATGTATGTGAGCCCTTGTCTGAGTATCCGGGCCCTTGGGAAGTTCATCTAGCATCATGTTCCAGTGACTCAATGCATCCTGGTCCTTAGAAGGCTTTTAAGGCGTAAAAGGATCCCTGAGGAACTGCTTACGGATGAATAGCAGGAGCCGACCTTTCCTGCCTACACATTGACACTGGTGGTAAACATGCATTGGCCCAAACTCCTTTTTTCATATACACCTGTGTAAATCCGCGTGAAATACAAGATAAAAATTAGTCCTGCAGTTAGAACTTAATTAATAATTGTGGATACGTGCAACCTGCCTTATTCTCTTCTGCTAACATCATGCAAATAAACAGTAACCACTCTACCTTTCTCTCAGTAAACACGTTTTTACTTATTTCTGGGATCAGTCTTAAGGTTATAAGTATTTTCCAAACAAAAAAAGCATCATTTCTATCCGTCCCTTACAGCAGCTCTTCCAGTCCGAGTAGGTCTTGGCCTCATTCACATGAAGCTGCCTTAGTGGTGCAAGAGGATTGGTTTAGATCATACTTCTCAAGGTGGAGAGCTCACTAACATTTTGTCCACAAGGCTTTTGTTTCCTCAGCTGTTACCACTGGCGATTTATTTTTTTCCCTTCACTCTCATCTGAGAGATTTGAGCAGCAAAAACCGCATTCTGTATTTGGGGTCTTATAGAGGTGATCTAGTACTCCGTGATCTTCAAAGCATTTGAATGTATAATGTATTGTAGGACACAGTCCTGTACTGCCCCTTGAGAACTGGCCTAATAAATGTAATAGCATAGTGCTTTTGAAGTTTCCTTTCATGTTAGAATTTTGCAGCTGGGAGAAAAATAGCATAGTTTTGTAAGAACCATACTCTTCTACAGAGAACTTCTGTGCAGTGTACTTTTTTTTCTTTTGGTCAGATGAATCCAATGAAGACAAGAGAGAGGAGGAAGAGGAGTTAAATTTTAATGAAGACATTGTTTGTCCACATGGTAAGTGTATCTGTGGGAGGTAGGAGTAATTATATGCAAAGTATTCTAATTGGTCTCTAAATAGTAGGTAATTTTCTGTGTTTCTTCAGTCAAGCTCAAGACCAGCTGGATTAATCACGGATGAATTCTACTTTAAATCTGTTTTACCTTGCTTTTTTTCTTAAGTAGATAATACCATTTGAACTTTTTTTCTAAGAATGCCATGAGTTTGACTCAGATCACACAAGTTTGGGGAAACAAAGATATATTTGGATGGAAACCTCCAGAGAAAACGTAGGTACTACAGAGAATTATCACCAATTAAGTTGGTGTTACTCTTCCCTCTGAATTTGCTACTGAACTGATAGTTCTGTATAATGTGAAGAGAGTCTCTTCTGTAGCACGTGCTGTCTTTTGAGTAGAAGAAAAGCCAAAGGCATTCCTAACGGTTGTGACTATTAAAACAAAAAACTCTGAAATCTGTGAAACTGCTTTCATATTTTTGGATAAAAGTAACTGTATTTATCAGTGATAGTATCCATTCCTTTTCCCTCTTGTAAATAAAATAGCAACCCTCTGAACTGAGACTCTACATGGGTACAGACAATTGCAAAAATGCATAAGAAGTATTTTTTCCTATCCAATAAGTATTTAGGCCTCTTCAGTATATAGGTTGTTATCAAACTGCAAGGTGTTTGGCATCCCTTTCATCATGCTGGTGACATAGTATTGGTCGTTTTGTTGCATTTAAGTGATGGTTAGCTGGCTGCAACTTATGCTGAAATTTCTAGTCTTATTTTCAATATGTAGATTATTGGCAATATTGTGATGGATTGTAACTGCTGCCTTATTGGAGGCATGATCTGTCAGTTTGGGCCATTGTCATCTAGGGCTATGTTATTTTCAGTTAATACCAAACTTAATGTGGATTAACAATGCGCTCTTCACCATTATAGCTAATAAGCGATGTATGCCTTGGATAGCTAGAGTCACGTCCTCAAGTACAGTGTTTGAAATCTTTTGTCATTGTTACATATTTTTTCCAGTGGGATTTTTGTATGGCAGCTGGCAGTGCCATGAGACTGGTATCGCTAAATAAATCTTTCCATTGTACTTGGCAGTTTTATATTTCTGATGTAGGCAGACAACACCACCATAAAAATGAGCATTTGAAAATACTATCCCAGCAAATTAGTAATTTCTATATAAATTGATCTTTGACTTGGTCACACAAAAGTAACTGACGTTAAAAATCCGGGCCCTCAAATTCAGATTTCTTCATTCTGAGTTAACCTGAAATTACTCTTATAAAATACCATCTTCCTCTTATGCATTGAAAATATTCCACTGAAGTGTACAGCAAATCTACATCCCCTGTATTAGAGCCTTGATTTTGCAGTAAAGCAAACTACAGCCTTAATGGTGCTATCTGCAAGGACCAGTGCTTGATCTGTGAGGTCTGGCTTGCATCCAAAAAATATGCTGGCTTTCCCTTATGAAGTTGCCTTTCCCATCTTCTTACATGCATATGTTAAAAACCTTTTTCATCTTCCATTTGGAGAATTGCTGTAATTGCTCCCTCTCCAGTAGTTTCCTGACCCCATTGGATAATTTTCTCTGATTACCAAGTTAGGACATCTTTGATGTTCGTGCCCAGAATCCATCTCTCCCCAGAGATGATGGGAGGAGAAACAGTGGTTAGAGTTTTCACCTTCCAGATGGTAGAGTATTTGTACTCTGCACATCTGATCTGATTTTCCACCTCACTCCCTCTATAGCTTTATTATAGGCTATCGTCTCTTTTCATTAATCAAACCTTGTCAGCATACTTATTTGTATGATCTTATTTTCATGTCCCTCTTGGTTTCTGGAAAGCCTCCCAGTCCTGCCTTCCCCCATATGGTGAACCTAGGCTAATCATTGGTCAAATTCAGCAAGTTTTTCATTAAATGCTATTTCAAAATAATCCAATCTGATCTTCATTTATTTGCAACAAAGCCAGGAACAGTGTGTTGCTATTTTTGGTTTGGGGAGTTGGCAGAAGTTCAAGATTTGCCAGAATGAGAGATGACAGGTCAGTGGAATTGCAGACTTCTCCTAATACTGAAGAAATCCAAACAGGGAGTTTTCCTTCTGAGTTGTTTCTGTATCCAGTGGATAATCTGAGCCCCCTTTAGGTTATAGAAATCGAGAGAATTAATTCAAAGTGCCTAGTCCTCAGATAAACCCTGGTCCACGTTTTGTAACTTTTCAGTAACCTGGTTCCTTGTCATCCTTGGTAACATACACTCTGATATATTTGGAGCATCACTTTTTTTCCTCCCATGTAACTCTCTGTGCCTTCGAGCTTGACAGCACTGAGTTGTTTTCTGTTTTCAGATTACCATTGTTCTCACTGTGTTTGTGCAGCACCATTTTTACCTTTCCCCTTCTACTTGCATGGCTGGCTTTTGGCTTCAGAGCAGCAGTTACACAGGTGGAACTCAGTGCTGGGCGTAGCGCACAGCAAGAAACCATGCGCAATTTAATGGCTCATTCAGTCTCTCAGCAATGCAGTCACTTTTCATCCATGAAATATTTTCCTGCCGTACAGTGAATCTTAGGATACATACATCCAGAGCCTGTGCCGCTTGAGTGACCTTTTTGACATTGCTGCTATCAAAATAAACTTCCATAAATACTTTCTGTTAAGCCATTATTTTCCCGATTCTCAGATTTCGTTTGTCAGCTTCCGGAACGTTGCTTGCATGTATAAATGATACCGTGTGAGTAATTGGAGTTGTCTGAGCAGGATTTGGTACGTCTCTCATGGTTTTGGCCCACAAAATTAATTCCACTTAGCTGTATACAATTATACCGTCTCCCATAAAGGGGCTGAAATGACAGTCTTGAACTACAAATGGCATTCAGTGTGCTGTGCACAGTTTGTATACTGCGCTTTTTCAAGACGGGCATTATTGACAGGATTCTTCTGTGGATCCTGCCCACTTGAATATCCTGAAGAACTTCTCATACACTAAACAGTTCCTATAGCCATGTGGTGTTTAAATGCAGTGATGCTATCAGAAAAGCAGTTAGAGGATGAGTGGGGAGAACATCTTGGCCAGAACATTGAATTTGGGATGCCTGAGATGTAAATAAATCATGGTGACTTTTATTTTTCAGGTGTTTCTATTTGGAATAAACAAAGATTTGGGTGATCTGTGCCTTTGACGATCCACTTCTGTAACGTGCAATATTAGCCTTTGTGTATATGTATCGCGTGCTCTCTCTTACTGTTCTTGCCCTTCACAGCCTTCCCTGCTCATCTGTGCGTTTCTGCTGTTCCTCCTCTTGTGGTATTTGTATCTGCAACTTAAGTGCATGATCTTATAAAGATTAAAATCATTTGACCTTTTAAAATATAAGCAGGAAATTTAAGAATGCATCGGTTTAGCTGTTAAAATAGCTGGTTGCAATTGTTAAGAAGTGCTATGGCTGTAAGCAGGCACTAAAACCCTACCCTCCAGAAGGAGACTTATTCATTTGAGGGGGGTGGAAATAGAGGTTGAAGGTGACTCTTCTGTATTGGTTATGGTCTATTTTTTCACTCTCTAGTGCTGACGTCGGCATCAGATGATAAGGGCATACACATCTATGACTGCAATTATATAAAGTAATCTCTTAGATCTTCAGTGCTGCAAAACTCTTGCCGAGCATGTCCAGAACCAAAACGTTCTCTTGATTTCTTTTCCACCCCCACCCCACCCCCCCATCCAGGTGACCTGTGCATATCAGAAAATGAAAGAAGGGTTGTTTCTAAAGAAGCCTGGAAAAAACTCAAGCAGTATTTTCCAAAGGCCCCTGAATTCCCAAATAACAAAGAATGCTGTTCCCAGTGCAAGGTATTTGAGTACCTGGTAACTTTTAAGCTTTTTGATAGCTCGCATATGGTTGCATCTCTAGCCTTGTTGATGCTACCCTTGCTTAAAATATACAAATTTTAAAATCTTTTACTTTTTCAATAATGATTTTGAAAGCAAACAGAAAGGACTAGAGAAACTCTTTTGTTTTTTACACAGATTCTGGAAAGAGAAGGAGAGGAAAATGAAGCTTTACATAAGATGATGGCAAGTGAACAGAAAGCTTCCCTCCAGAACCTGTTTCATGACAAATGCAGACCATGTCTTGGTAGCTGGCCTCAGGTACAAAGTCTGGGAAAGGTTATAGAAATCTGTCAAAGCTGGGAAAAGGTGTATTGTGTTACCAATGTTGATGAGAAAATGTGGAATTGAAATGCTGGAGAGAGAAATGTGCTTGTGTAAACCTTGCACATAATATTGGACCATACAAACACGTTGTATGCTTCATTGAATAATGTGACTTAAATAATCAAAGCTGGATTGAGATATTCCCTCTAGGTGAAAGACAACAGCAAGTTATTTTTTATCAATATTTATATGTGTATCTTAAAACAGTGTTTTTAACAAAAAAAAAATGGCAGGTATTATTTCAGCTGGAACTTTCTAAAGTACCTTCTGCGTGTGTGGCCCTCTATAGTTACTACCTCTTGCTCTTCTTGTAAAGCACTGACTGGTGTAAGTCTTGCTGTGGTTTGCTAGAGATGTTTGCTTTGGGTTATTTGTCCTTGCATCTCCTGCTGCTAGTGTGCCTCTGCCCAGCACACATGAGATGGATGATACTGGTCAGCAATGTCTTTTGGGACAGCATCTGCTCCCTGAATGTCTTTGTCTCTCCAACCAAGGGCACAAAGCACGGCACGGAGCCACCCCCAACTGCCCATCACTTCCTCCTTGCTGCCTTGCAGTGTCCAAGTCCATGCACTATCTGGCCTTTTCCTCATGTATGCAACTTTAATTGCAAGTGAGTAGGTTACTATTGGCTTTTGAATATCTCAGCCTTTTGTCAGAAAATCCATTTTATTTTGCCTGGTATGGCACTCTTGATATGGTGCTTTTTTGCTACATCTGCACATGAGTCTGTGCTTACTTTTAGAAAGCTTTTGCTGATATAACTCGGTCAGTTAGTAGGCCGTTGAAGTGTAATTTCTACTGACATAGAGACTTTTGTTGACAGAATATTGTAGATGCATCAAAACTGCCCAGCAACTCTTTTAGCTTATGTTGCTCAGGGGAGCTGGAGTAGCGTATAGTAGTTTCCTCCACAATACATGCTTTGCTAGTATGGTTATGCGAGGAAAGCTTTCTACCATAAAAATAACTAGTCTCCACACTTCAAAACCTGCTTTGCATGTAACGATGGGTGTTCCAGTTGGTGGTTTTGTCTGGGAGGGGCACATTACAGAGGGGTGTGCCATCTGTAAACCATTTTACAGAAGGAGTCCTGAACCCTGAAAAATCTCTACAAAATGTTTCTTTTAAAGAAATCGATGCATTCCTTTCTTTGATTTATGGGAAGGCAAGGACAGGCGTCTGTGAGCACCTATGGACAAATGGCACCTCCTGCATCTTCTCTTTCCGTATTATTGAAGTCCATTTGGTGAAAGACTCGCCCTTCTTGTGTAGTCAGACTTTTGGCAATGAGCTAGAGTGAGCATCATGGTTATAGAGACATCATCAGAGGTCTCTCCCCATGGGTCCTTCCTGCAGCTATAAATGCTCCTGTATTTCTGACATGAGAAGTAGTATGAGGCTCCTTTGGCATCCATTTGAGCACTGCTCACCTTTGTCTCAAGACCAGTATTTCTGGCACCACTGAAATCATCCTGTCCTGACCTCTGGGTGCTGGTATTGCAAGCGCCCATCTGTACTGGTGCCAGTAACAGCTCCTTGCTTTCCATTGATGTAGACATACTTGATATTGAAAGACATAATGGTCTCCACTTTTCATACATTCATAGAAGTTAGAGGCTGGAAGGGACCTCACAAGATTTGTAGTGATGCAGCTAAGTCTGCTGGCAGCTGTCCTATAACTGGTTAACAAGCTGGCCAGGACACGTTTTTGTGGGTGTTCCCACCACACCAACTGGTACAGCTTCCCTACTTTATGAGTGTTCAGTTCCCTAC